CGCGTCGTTTAAAAAAAGTGGCCGCGGTGTCATGCATTGAAAATGATTTTGCCTGTGTATTTGGTTTGGCGTAGGCGGAGGGGGAAAATAGGTTTGTGCAGCGGATTTGGGTAAAAATGTTTTCATGACCACATATTCAACCAATATTAATCTGCACGGATTTGAATTTTTTTTTCTTTTCTTTTCTTTTTTTTTTTGTGCAAACTAACTTATAATAGGTATATTGATATATTTGGAGCACTTTGGATTAGTAACTATTGTCGAGGGTTAACCCATAATAGGGAACGTTCACCAAAAAATTTGTACAATCTAAAAGTCTAAAAATCTAAAAATACAATATTTCATAATACTAATGGATAAAAACTCTCGTTATGTTGTTGGGAGGGGAATCAGAGGTTTTAAAACCTTCCTGTGATCTCCAAAAATACTCTAGATTGTCGGATTTTCCGGCCTAGAAATTGCACCTGAGTTTCGTAGGCCAACTCTTTTCCATGACCGCTTAAGACCGAGACTGAGTGAATCGAGTCACACTGAGAGGAGAGAGAGCCCTAGAGCTTCTTGCATTGTAGGTTCAAAACTTTGTATCGGAAACAAATGGATCAAATGCATAATTTGGCATTTTTGCTCCATCTGGGCCTTTCTTCTACCTGCCACCCGCCCCATCACGTCTAGTAAACTGTTTTTTTAGAAATCAAGCAAGAATGTCATATAAACGCAAATTGGTTTTATTTTTTGCTTCGTTTTTCTAACAAACGAGCCTTGCATATGGCCTGTTTCACTGTGTGCTACAGAGATTTTAACTAAATTTATTTCATTATATTTGTTTCTGGCATCGTTAAATTCAACTGAACGTTTATAATTCAGACTTATTCGACAAGAGAAACACAACCCTTTTAGACCAGGCTTCTCTAGGGAAAAATGAATTAAGCTTTCGAAGTTGTGTGCTTTGTATTGCAGCCTAAACAAGTTCATTGTTTTAAAAATAGCTCGAGCTTATTTAGCTTGGAAACATCAAAACCGCCGAAAACTCTTTGGCATTGTGTTTTAACTAAACCGCTGTAAAAAGACTACAACATCACTTAGAAACACAATAAGAGACGTAGACTAACGGTACACGTCTCCAAACATTTGCTAGTATAAAACTATTTTTTACTTGAAAATTGCCATTGAAAATTAGAACATATTTGTTTATTTATACCATTAACCTAAAGGTGTATCTCTCTTTACCTTGTAACTATCTCTACTGATTCCTCTGTTTGACAGGCATGTATTCAAGCTTATTTTGAGTAATTACAGCAGTTCTATAATCTTGCATTTACATTTTACTTCAGGTATTCTGAAGTATGAATTACTTCGTATATTCTACTGAAAATTATCTACGTAGCAAGCTGTATCTATAACGAGTAAATAGGAATTAGGTTCGTGTTTGAAAGTAGGAAGAACTTTGGTAACTGTGAAATTACGCGCCTATGTTTATTCCTGACTCACAANAACCCTTTTAGACCAGGCTTCTCTAGGGAAAAATGAATTAAGCTTTCGAAGTTGTGTGCTTTGTATTGCAGCCTAAACAAGTTCATTGTTTTAAAAATAGCTCGAGCTTATTTAGCTTGGGAACATCAAAACCGCCGAAAACGCTTTGGCACTGCGTTTTAACGAAACCGCTGCAAAAAGACTACAACATCACTTAAAAACACAACTAAGAGATGTAGACTAACGGTACACGTCTCCAAACATTTGCTAGTATAAAACTATTTTCTATTTGAAAATTGCCATTGAAAATTAGAACATATTTGTATATTTATACCATCAACTGAAAGGTGTACCTCTCTTTACCTTTTAACTATCTGTACTGATTTCTCTGTTTGACAGGCATTCATTCAAGCTTATTTTGAGCAATTACAGCATTTCTATAATCTTGCATTTACATTTTACTTCAGGTATTCTGAAGTATGAATAACTTCGTATATTCTACTGAAAATTAACTACGTAGCAAACTGTATCTATAACGAGTAAATAGGAATTAGGTTCGTGTTTGAAAGTAGGAAGAGCTTTGGTAACAGTAAAATTACGCGCCTATGTTTATTCCTGACTCACAACTTAGAATATAATCGAGCTATTGGTTCAAGAATCCTAAAGGCTCATGTTTTTAAATAGTCTGTGATTCAAAGGCAAGCCTAGGACACGTTCAAAACTATGCCTTCGATCTTACTGGTCAACAAGTTTAACTTGGCTAAAAAAGATAAATACGAAATGCAACGGCTGACAGGCAATGGTATTTTATGTCGCCGGCCACTGTCAATATGGAAGCGCCGGCCTATTTGCCTGCATTGACGCAACTTCTGTTAGAGGCAAGATTTCTTTGCCTTCTTAAACGGTATAAAATAACTCAAACTAAGCTAATATCGTCTCTCTGAGAAAAACAAACAAACAAACAAACAAGCTCTATGTTCACCGAATAAGAATGAAATATTGCAACGCTCAGTAGTCATGCTTTTGCTCATGCTTTTGCTCTCGAAAATTTTTACAGATTTAAGAAGTAAAAAAAAAAATATGCATTTACTGCAACCTTAAACTCCACGCTAGAGAACATGCACGGGTTTGAATTTTTTTTTCCCCATCAGAACTTGGATCACTCTACATATATTACTTGATTTTTTTTTAAAGCTAAATTGTTCGGTTAAGTTAACATCCCCTGATTAACACATGCCGAGGAACATCGGCAGTTTGAGTAGCATCTGAAATGTATCCTTGAATATTCTCAGCTAGTCCAAGCACTTGCCACACCCTGTCAGATCAATGCAGTTAACACCATACATTAGTTTTCATTTTTATCTTTACGCGTTATTATACGATCCATTGCGTAATATGAATTTTCACGACTACCCATTCCAATGGTCCACATTTTGCCTAGAGACCATGTACATGTAGCGATCCATATACTTCGTTTCTATTGTGACAGTGTTTATCAGTATAGGAAATTCAGCTCCTTTCTATTTCACAACTGAGTTGCGAGGAAAAATGAAGGTAAAATGTGAGCGCATTTTTTAAACTAGGAGATATCAGGAAACCTGAATGTGCAATGAAAACGCAAATTTCTAAAACTGGGTTATCTCGGTTTGGGGATCTTTTTTTTTCTTTTCTTTTTTTTTATCTCGCTTTGGGGATAATAACCGATCACAATTCAGTTTTGGCCATGTCACGTGACGTTTAACGTGTAATTATAACGCCTGATATTGAAAGAAATAGTCTACCGAGTCAATGAAAGGTTTTCTTTCTTTCAGAAAAAAGTCACTTAGCTAGGCATTAGTTCAATTTAGCATCTACCTTAGGATATCCTGTCTTTGACTCGCATTAAAATATTCTCTGAAAGCTGTAAGGCCTGCTCAGCCATCTGGACCGAGTAAACGTCGTTTGGGATCTCGGGGAAGGACATCTGATCTGGATAACGCATGCGCGCCGAACCACCGACAAGTCTCTGTAGACTGCTGGCTAACCTGGTTAACTCGGAGTCATTTAAACCATCGCACTTCTCAACCAAGTAGTGGTCTCTAGTCACGTTGTCAGCATCTATTGAGTACTGAACCGCCTTAAGTGCCTTCTCTGCTGCCTATAGGAGAACAAATTTATACAAAGCATTCAACAAAGGCACTGGTTGCCAGTTACTATTCGCTGAGATACTAGCTGTACTTGAACATACACTAAACAATGCCTTGTATAAGTAGTTGAAGAAAGGACAATTTTGCACATTCATTCTTTTTTCTAACACAATGACTGCCTGGCTAATACTTCAAGTGAGAATTGGTTCGCTTTTTCGCGGTCTTTCATCTGTGATCCAACTTGTTGCCTTTCAGTAATATATTTATTTTGTACATGAAAGTAACATAAGATCGGTCAAACGGCAGGCACAGTGCATATAAATTCTTAAAAAAATAACCTTAAGAGTGGGGAATCCCAAAGTTGAGTTTTTACAGCCTTATGAACATCACTGCGGGTCAGTCAAAAAGGTCCAAAATGATCTTTACCGGCAAATTAACCAAAGAGAGCCTTTTTACCTGATGGCATTTAAAGCATACCCACTCATAAGAAGGCCTACTGGAATCAATTTCATTTGCACCGGCTGCAAGGTCAGCTTCCGCCTGTCTGAACCAACGCTTAGCCTCATCAGGCTGAGGATTTTTAATGCAGAACCTTGGAGGAATGTGACATGATGACGATTCCCAGGACTCGTCCGAATTAGCGAGCCTTTCTCTGTACTCCTCACGCTGCGTTTCATGCTCTATTACACGTCTTACCCAGGCATCAATATGTTCGTCGTAAGAGCCGCCCAGTTCATTCTTGATGTGTTCAAACGCCTGTGAGCAGAATTCTTCATCTCCCAAATTCTTCCTTGGGTGCCAACGTAGAATAAGCCGCTTGACGATTTGTCGTCTCTGTTCTTCTGGTAGTCTCCATGCATCCTCCAGTTGCTCTGATATCTCTCCAAAAATAACTTCTCTATTTCTGTTTCTGGGGCGTTCTCTTTCCTGTGCAGATATCTCCTGTATGCGGTGGAATTTGTGCAAGACGGCAGCATTGACCTCTACTGATTCGTCGTTTCCAATATCGATTAGGTACATCTTTGTCAGGAGAATTGAATCTTCATCAATCACGTCAAGTTCGTCAATAATCACCGCGTAGATGTACGTGGCGACCCCTTCCTCGAGTTGAAGACTCGGGTCATGTAACTGATAACCTACATATTCTCCAGGTTCAAATTCTAAAAAGGCGTCATTCAGCAGATGATGGTCGTCGATTGGAATAAAGCCACCTGGTTCTGCATAGATGCCTATTTCTGTTTCATCGCAGGTGTCATCTTGTCGAATATCTGCTCTATCAAGCATGGGCCATATGTCGACAAGGGAACAAAGCAACATTTCAGGAATTAAGACTGCTTTCGTTCCCAGAAACTCACCATAAATCTCTTCAATTACCTGAGCTATCAAGGATGTGACCGAAACTGCGACGCCCATTCCTGTTACAGATTTCAAATACACCCTCACTTTCTCCTTGCCAGGCACCATTACTTTCTCTTGAAAGTAAGTTACATCTTTTTCACTTCCAGGAATGAGTTCATTGTCGTGAAAGAGTGAGGTTTTAGGACTTTCTACAGCACAGAGCTCTATGTTTCGAAGACCACTTTCGACATTTGCTATTATTCCTTCATCAAAATCTTCCCTCTGAGCGTTAACATGTCGAATAATTCTGACAATTCCACGAACAAACTGNTCCAAAAATAACTTCTCTATTTCTGTTTCTGGGGCGTTCTCTTTCCTGTGCAGATATCTCCTGTATGCGGTGGAATTTGTGCAAGACGGCAGCATTGACCTCTAGTGATTCGTCGTTTCCAATATCGATTAGGTACATCTTTGTCAGAAGAACTGTATCTTCATCAATCACGTCAATTTCGTCAATAATCACCGCGTAGATGTACGTGGCGGCCCCTTCCTCGAGTTGAAGACTCGGGTCGTGTAACTGATAACCTACATATTCTCCAGGTTCAAATTCTAAAAAGGCGTCATTCAGCAGATGATGTTCCTCGATTGGAATAAAGCCACCTGGTTCTGCATAGATACCTATTTCTGTTCCATCGCAGGTGTCATCTTGTCGAATATCTGCTCTATCAAGCATGGGCCATATGTCAACAGGGGGACAAAGCAACATTTCAGGAATTAAGACTGCTTTCGTTCCCAGAAACTCACCATAAATCTCTACAATTGCCTGTGCTATCAAGGATGTGACCGAAACTGCGTCGCCCATTCCTGTTACAGATTTCAAATACACCCTCACTTTCTCCTCGCCAGACACCATTACTTTCTCTTGAAAGTAAGGTACATCTTTTTCGCTTCCAGGAATGAGTTCATTGTTGTGATTGTGAAAGAGTGAGGTTTTAAGGCTTTCTACAGCACAGAGCTCTATGTTTCGAAGACCACTTTCGACATTTGCAATTGTTCCTTCATCAAAATCTTCCCTCTGAGCGTTAACATGTCGAATAATTCTGACAATTCCACGAACAAACTGTACAGACGAAATTCGCGTCCTCAATGCGTTCACAGCTCCAGTTGTCACTACTGTGCCATCAGTTAAGACTTCTTTTACTAGAGTGGACAACATCACTGGTTGTATGGGTGTAGGCAATTTCATCATTAGCTCTCTGTAGTTGATCAAGGCAGATTTAGGTCTGACGTACATCCTGTTGAGCTCAAGTACAAAACGTATGTTGAGCCCCGCGATCCTTGATCTATAGGCAGGAACATCATTGAAAACCAGCTCCGTGGACTTTTGTAAGGTCACACGGATTTGTTTTGGACGCTTATCAGAGGAGGGAATCTCCGGAAATATTGCTGGTAAGTACAGATTAGAGATCGTAGATGCGTCATCAGGATCATCTTCAAGCTTTGCAAAGAAACCTCTCACCGCCTTGGAACACTTTCTGACTTCATCTGGGTGCAATTTAGCATTTGGGCAACTTTCCTCCATCTTCTCCAAAACCATAGCATAATGAGTAGCTCTGACAGTCTTGGAACAACCCAGGTACTCAAAGAATCCATGTAACTTGCCAAACTCTGGGGGAATTCGGTAAAGATATGGCTTTATTTCATTACCCTCGTACAACTCAAGGACTGCTTGACTGGGCGGAATGAACTTACTTCCTTGTTCAACTAAAATGCAGCGAGTAGTTTCAAGGAGCCTCTTCACTTCGTTGTCTGCGGTTGCGTTTTCTTGAAGAAATGCGTAAATACTTTCCATGACCCTTATTAACGCGGAACACTGTTCAGCTGGAGCATTTCTCATGTTGTACTTTCGCTCATAATGGAGACAGATGGTTTGGCAATGACTAACAACGAGATTTACCGATGGCTTCTCCGCAATTTGCAGCTTGGCGAGAAAGGAATTACAGTACTTCTCAATATCGACCCCATCCGGACAATCAAATTCATTTTTACGAGACCTTGGATTTGCCCACACTGGAAGCAAGTGTGCTTTTGTCCATACAATGTCTTCGTAGTCCTTGAAAACTGCTCCTTTGAACGCAATGAAGGGAACTTCACCCTCGACTGCTCCTCCTAACGGTGGATAGACTGTTAGTAGTAGGTCTGTCACAGAGTCGGCAGGTACGAAGGGAATTTCACAGACCATTTCTAAAATGCCTTCATCCACTACATTTGGTCGAGAGATTAGGTG